TCTTTATTTTAAGGAGAGATCAAAATGGTTCTGAGTAGAAATAGCCAGAGAGTAAAAGCAAAATGAAGGAATGCACTACCACAGCATCAAGGGAAGACAAAGGAACACTTTGTACATTATTCTGTCTTCATTCATTAATTTCTTTTAATTTATTTATACACTATTATATCTCAATTCCATAATTTTGCTTCATTTCCATTTATGAAAAAAGTACAGGTCTTTGCTTCTGTTCATTTAATTTTTAATGATTAAGAGTTACTGTATTTTGTAAATAGAAATAGCACTACTGAAAACAAAATGTCATAAATAGAATGATGTCTTTTGTTTCTGTGGATACACTAGAGTGATGCAAAAATAATAACAAAATCAAGAAAGTTCAGGGCAAGTTTGGGGAAGAAGGCTAGGATTATAATCTGTAAATCAATACAAGTTAAACACAAGCACTCCCAACAAGTATTCTTGGGGTAGACGGAAACAGATTAAGTATGTAACACTTGGTCCTCAAGGCTGGTTCAAAGTTTGAGTAACCAAGGTATCATCGTATTTTTCTCCCAATAGCATTTCTTAATTTGTACATCTGATGACATTTCTGGATTTTCAAATATAAAAAGTATACCATTCATATGCATCAAATTCTAAAATCAGAAAATGTATGTTCAGTCATAACTATATAAGTATAATTATATAATTCTAGAAGTATAACTATATAATTCTAGAAAAGTATAATTATATAATTCTAGAAAATATAAAGTACTGAAAATTTCAGTACTTGAAAAAAAAAGTCATCAATAAAACATTTGTGGTTTAAGCAAATACTTGGAATTACTGGGCTGTATGAAATAATTCAAAAGGTCATTTAGGTCAATCCCCTTGCCTCCAAGGAAAGCATTCTCAGACTCCCTCTAAGCATGGGTCCCAACTGAATTTGGTTTGTTTGCCAACATTCCACTTCAGGGTACTGGACTCTATTAAATCAGTACATGTCCATGCAGATGCAACAATCCATGTTGTGTTTTTGGTTTTGCCATAATGGAGCCCCAAATAATCTGGACTAGTAACCTTTATCCATTTAATTAGAAGTCTTCAAAAAAAAAAAAAAGAATAAAGCTATGAACCAAATGCCACAGTTCTAGAGTCAGAGGGAACCCTTGAGGATGATTAGTGAACTAAAACAAATTCTGTTGAATTATCTGGATAATTGTCTTACAGTTAGTTGAGCTGACTGGCTCCATGGAGATCAACTTCACCTTCAACAAGGTTGCAGGCTGTCCTCCAGAAAAAATGGAGTGGAGGGTGTAGCTAAGTCTTTATTTTCCTTCCCATTATACTAACGAGACTAATTCATAATTATTACATAGAGGCTGTTTCTGTAGGTGCTTGGCAGACATTCATATGTATTTCCATATGTGTACATTTTTGTGATTTAAAAAATATATTTTAAAACTCTGGGATTTGGACGAAGTTTAAATGACTCAAATAACTGTGGTATTACCCATGTGCAGCTAAGAAATACCCAAAAAGAAAATGGTGAAATGATTTGTTAGTAAAATACATAACACTACATATATTTTTACAAATTATATTTATAAAGCCCAAATATTTCAAATTGTCTTTACATTAGAACAGTCCCAGTTTTAAAGTTAGTCCCATTTAGTAGTATTTACCAGCATATTAGTTAGAAGCCTAACAAAAAACCAGTGTTTTGCTGGTTTGTGTGTTAGTTTGTTCTTGTGGTACCAGTGACTGAACCCAGGGCCTTCATAATGGGGTGTCTCTGCAGCCCTTTTACTCTATTTATTTACTTTTAATTTTTATTAGTATACATTTGTGATACATAATGAATATATTTATCATGGAGTTTTGGCATGTACACATATTGCATCTTGATCTTAAATTGCTCAGGCTGGGCTGAACTTGTGATTCTCCTGCCTCAGCTTCCCACAGTACTAGGATTACAGGTATACACTATCATATCGAGCTAAAATGAATTTTAGAATAAAACATGACAAGAGTTTTCTATTTTTCCCTTAGTTTCTAGCTGTGGGACTATAGCCAAGTTACTTAACTACGCTGTGAAACAGAATTACCAATATGCACTTCAGACAAATCAAGGTATATAAATTACTATCTTTATGGCTGTTATGATTTTATTTTGATTGGGTCAGAGTATTAACCCTGAATCCTTAACTCATTTACGTTGCAGTTTAAGTGAAAATTTAAGGTAGTCCTGAGCCAAGATGAGTATGTAAAATACCCATCATAGTGATAGATATAAATCACATGCTCAGTAAATGAAAGTTAGAGATACTTATTAGTTATAGAAAAAGGATTTATAGCTGTCATTTCCTTAAGTGCACTGACTCTTACCATGAGATCTAATATGAATAAAATTCTCATTTACCCAATACCCTTCTTCTCCTATTTTACAATTATTCTAAAAATCTGTGGCCTTTTCATGAAATATTCAATGCCTCCAAGCCATTGCTTTCTGTGTACTAATCCCTGTCCTGAACATCTAACCACCTCAAGAATTCCAGCAAAAGAAGGGAGTATAGAAGTCCGAGAACTCCAAAAAGTTTGGCTGTTTTTTTCCCTATTAATTAAATAGTCTCTGGAGCTTTTCATACAGATAGCCTTACTCTGAACTGCTGATCCCTATTTTTAGTTACTATGAGTCACTTGGCAAATGAAAAACAAAACCCCTCAAAACACAAAATAACAAAATTCACAGCCATGAAAGTGATGAAAGAATTAGAAATTCATTTCAAATCTATTTCATTCTACTCTCAGAAAGTTACAACTCATAAATGTACAGGCTGAAAGTTAAAATGTCAATTTAGTAATACTGAAAATCAATATTCACAGAAAAATGTTATTGAAAGTCTTTACTTCCTCTAACAGCTGTTTCTTATTCTATGTCTTCTAAGTCAAAACAGTGAAGTCAGAATACAAATGTATCTTCCACAGATATTAAAGAAAGAAGAATGAAGACACACACGCGGAGAGCACAGTCTGCAGTTTCTCTGCATCACAGGAAAGCCATGCTCTGGTCTGGAGAGTGTCGCCCAAAGCCCACGTTAGAAGCTTGGTCCCCAGCTGCTGGCACTACTAGGAGTGGGGCAGCCTCTAAAGGGGGTGCCTAACGGGAAGTCTTCAGCGTGGGTTGCCCTGGAAGAGCATGCTAGGACCAGCCCCTCCCGTTTCTCCTTTGCTTGCCTGCCATGAGGTGGACGGGTTCTTCCGCCACCACTCCCGCCATGACATGCTGTCCTACCACACTGGCCAAACGCAGTGGGGCCAGTCAGCCAGGGCCTGAGACCTCTGAAACTGTGAGTCAAAACAAACGTCTTCTCTTTATAAACAGACTTACTCCAGGTGTTTACCAAAGTAAAGGAAATCTGCCTAAAACAAGCCACATGCAATGGGAAAGAGAGAGATGAGGGCAGGAACCATGCCAGCTAGAAACTGTTCCTCCTCACATCTCACAAAACAGAAAAAAAGGGTAGGAATAATACAGCATTTCAAAGGAAATAACAGCAAGAAATGACTAGTCTGTCTCAGCTTTTTCAATGATGTCCTCTCACTCCTTCAACTGTTATGGTACATGCCCCATGAATAATTTACTATTGGAGGCTTTGCTACAATGATATTTAAGTATACAGCTATAAACAAAAAAGACAAATTAGTATCCCTGTGTTGCAGTTCTTTTACATGGTGTGCGTGTGTGTGTGTGTGTGTGTGTGTGTGTGTGTGTGTGTGTGTGTTTGCTTTCCTTAATGGTCAGGTGGTCAAAATTTATTGAACACATATTATTTCTGTGAACAAAGCTCAACAATAGACAGTACCACAAACATCAGTGGCAAAACCTTCCCAGCTAGATTGAAGGTCCTAACTTGAGAATAGGGAGGAAATTGAAAAAAGAAAGAATAGATAAATTTTAAATTCGTATTTATTAATTTATTCAGCTAACACAGATCAGGGACTTATAATGTGTAAGGAGATATGCTCTGTTTCACAGGAGACATACATAAAAATGAATTAAGATAGAGAATAAAGACAATCATTTTCTAGGTCCTATCCATTATCTTGTGGTTAAACCCTTCTATTCCTGATTCTGCTGATTTGGGGCTTTAATCTTTTTATCCTCTGTGATTTTACCAAACCACCTAACACTTGCAAGCTTCGACTTCTCACTCTGTGAAGTGGAAATCATAACAGTCCATTTTCATAACATCATTGTGGGGTATGCACATTACTTGACACTGAATCCTGTGTAATAATACCGTAGCTGACAGCTATTGTACGTTTCCCACAGGACTACTATTCCCCTACCAGTCTCACACATCCCCTCATTCCTTTTCATATGTGTTGCTACCATTTTAAATCAGATTGTAGTTCTACTGACAAATTAAAATTGTTTCAACCACCAAGTTCTTCAAACAGCATACTAGGTTCTTTCCAGAACAATAAATACAATTTCCTGCCTTTGTACCTTTGCTTTGTTCCTGCCTCTAGCCAGAATTCCCCCTAGTACATCTGCTCAGGTGAAAATCCAACCTATATTTCAACATCCAGCCTTTCCAACAGTTCCACAAGAAGTAAATCTACTTCTGAGTTCTCACTGAACTTACAGCCCTTGTCACTTCTTTTCCTCCCATAAGCCATGTTTATCCTAAACAAGATTGTTTTTATATTCATGAGCTCTTAGTTCCCAGTTAGACACATGTAACAAAAAATGAAGGCACAGTTTTATATTTGTATTTTTTTCTCTCACAAAAATAATCTCTACTGAAGGCTATGGATATTGCTTTGTATTGTGATTTAAGAACAAATCATAAAATCTGTCCAAAATATTCTAAAAATGCCATAACTTTGTAATGGATTACTGAGAAATGTCTACATTGTGAAACACAACATAGAAACAGGAAATTAGAATTTGATACCAAGATTCATGCACAGTGTTTTAAGAATGAAAAAAGACTATGTAATTGTTGGCTTACTTTTCTTTCCTGCTCCCCAGTTGGCGAGCTGTATATGGATCCCCATAGTCAACTAACACTAGTTGTCGAGAAAAGACATTCACTTTGTTGCCTATAAATAAATCTTCCAAGCGTAGATCATCATACTTGGTCCGTTTTAAAAAGGTGCGGTGATTCTTTACATCATGCTATAACCAAAAACAACACAATTAAAAAAATACATTTATTAATAAAGAATATCTTATTATGAGATAGAAATAGTTCTTAATTCTGGCTTATCAAAGATAAATTGTTTCATATGTTTTGTTTCTTTTGTGCTACAAATATAATTTATATTATAAATTTTGTATTTTCTAATCTAATTCAGTGGCATATACAGCTTTTAATATAAAAGCTTATTATTACAAATGTAATACTTAAAACATTCTAAATAGGGGCCCACCCCTCAGACGTGAACACCTGGGACACCCTGGTATGACATAGCTGTCTCGCACTACAGCCGCTGGGCCCACCCCTTGGGGAACCCAACTGCCTCCTGGACCTAGTACTGCAGTTGATCTTTGGATCCAACCCCCAGAACCTAGAACTACAGTGAATTACAATGCTGGCTGTATGGGAGACACAAGAATCCCTCACACAAACAGAAGACCTCAGCAGGCTCCAGTCAGTGTGATGAGTGAGACCCCTAAAATAGAGGTCTGCAGTGGGTAAACAGGAGCTAAAGTGAAACTCCCTCCAACTGTAAGACCTTGAAGAACCTGACAAAAGAGTGGGTAATACCTTCCTCCACACAGAGAACATCAGACAGGATGAGCAGTGCACCAATAAGGCCTCCACCAACTTGGAGAAAATTAAAAGAGCTTATGAGACCCACAGTGACACAGTATGGCCTCAGCTGACACAAACACTATAGACAGGGAGATCTGGTGACCTGCAACAACCTGAAGACATAGCAACAACAGGAACTAAGAGTTGACCTACATCAATACTCCTAGGCTAGTCATCCCAGAAAGAATATAGGACTCACCCAACATGCCCTGCAGGAGGAACTCAGGTGACTGGCTCTCCCCTTCATTCTGGTACCCAGCAATTGGTCAAACATCAACCACACAGTAGGACAGTAGTCTCAACTGTTAGGATTAAAACACCAAATATTTACCCAAAATGACAAAACAGAAAAGGCAAAATGCCATCTCAAACATCTAGCCTATCAAAAGCAAGTACAGGGGACGCTGAAATAGAGGACTTTAAAAGTCACACACCAGGAATCTCTGAAAAGATAGCAAATGAAGTAAAGAAACAAATACATGAGGCTATAAAGGAAATCAAATTAGAAATAATGTCTTACGCAAAGACAGAAATAGCAACCTTAGTTACTAAGTTTCTCAACATAGCTAGAGAAGAAATAGATTTAAAAAAAAATTACAGGACCATGGGAAATTTATTGAAACTTTGAACAAACAATGCAGAAAAGAAGCAGAATCCATGAAACAAATACAAAGAGATATCCAAGAAACAAAAACTCTATTGAAAGCTCACAAAATCACTTAAATGAAGCTGAGAATAGAATTTCAGACCTTGAAGACAGGATTGCAGATAGCAATCATGAAAGGGTAGAACTTATAAAAACAACAAAGCAGCATGAAATGACAATCCAGCAGCTTTAAGATGATGCCAAGAGAAACAATATAATATTAATAAGCATCATTGAAGATGCAAGAGTCAATGCAAATAGCATAACTAAACTATTCACAGACGTAATAGCAGAAAATTTCCCACACATAGGGAAAAAATCTGATATACAAATAAGTGAGGCATACAGAACACCAAACAGTCACAACCAACATAAATCTACACCAAGACATATAATTGAGCAATACAGACATACACCAGACATACAGCATAAAAACAGAATACTAAAAGTCGTTAGAGAAAAGACTCATCAATAACTCAATAACTCATCTATCAAGGAAAGCCTGTTAGAAACACGGCAGACTTTTCTGCACAAACTAAGTTAAGATGAGCTTGGAATAGAGTATTTCAAGCCCTAAAAGAAAACAACTTTCAACCCAGAATGATGTACCCAGAAAAACTGTCTTTCAGATTTAATGGAGAAACAAGATACTTCCATGACAAAGAACAAGTGAAGGAATTCATGTCCACCAAACCAGCCCTAGAAAGAGTACTGAAAGACATGCTAGATAGAGATAAAAAATAACCACAGTCTCTAGAGCAACAGAAAGAAATCACGAGGCTGGACAAGAAATTAAATAAGGGAGAAAAGCAGGAAACCAACAATAGAAATACAACATGGTAAAGTCAAGCCAGCACATATCAGTGATATCCATAAATGTAAATGGACTCAATACACCTATCAAAAGAAATAGGTTGACAAAATGGATCAATAAACAGGACCCCACAATATACTGTATACAAGAAACACATCTGACTCAAAAAGAATTCATAGATTAAAAGTCAAAGGGTGGAAAATAGTATTCCATACAACAGGAACCCAGAAAAAAGCAGGGGTAGCTATTCTGTTTGCAGACAAAGTGAACTTCAAATCTTAAAGGATTAAAAGAGATAAAGAAGACCACTACATACTTGTAAGTGGAACACTACAAGAGGAAGAACTAAAAATTATAAATATATATGCATCAAATACAGGTGCACCCAACTATATAAGACAAATACTAAAGGACATAAAAAACCAAATAAACAAGAACACAATTGCAATAGGAAATCTTAACACTGCACTGTCACAAAGAGATAGATCAACTAGACAAAAAGTGAGCAAAAAAATAACAGAACTGAATCATACCTGTGACAAATGGACTTAGTGGATGTTTACAGAGTGTTCCACCCAACCATATCAGAATATATATTCTTCTCAGCTGCACATGGGACATTCTCCAAAATAGACCATATATTAGTTAACCTATAAAACATTCTTAACTAAATGCAAAGGGAGTGAAATTATCCCATGCATCATATCTGATACTAGCACACTAAAATTGGAAATCAACAGCAAAAAACCTGCAAAACTTGCATAAATACATGGAAATTAAATAACAACCTTCTGAATAACTAGTGGGTTACAAAGGAAATTAAAGAAAAAATAAAACAATAGCTACAATACAATGAAAATGCAAATACAATGTACTGTAACCTATGGGATGCAATGAAAGCAGTCCTAAGAGGGAAATATATAGCAATAAATAATCACATCAAGAAAATGGAACGAACACAAATAAATAACCTAATGGTACATCTCAAGCTTCTAGAAAAGGAAGAGCAAGTCAAATCCAAAGCTCATAGAAGAGAGGAAATTGTAAACATTAGAGCAGAAATTAATGCAATTGAAACTAAAAAAAAAAAAATACAAAGAATGAATCGAAGAGCTGGTTTTTTGAGAGAATCAACAAAACTGATAAAATCCTCTGGCCAACCTTATCAAGAAAAAGAAAGAAAAAACTAAAATCCATGCAATAAGGACTGAAAAGAAGGAAACTACTACAGATCCCATGGAAATTCAAAAGATCATGAACACCTATTTTGAAAATCTCTACTCACATAGAGTGGAAAACACAGAGGAAATGGACAGATTTCTAGGAACATATGAATTACCAAAGCTTAGTTAAGAAGAAATAGCAATTTTGAATAACCCAGTATCAGCTACCAAAATCAAAAATGTGATTAAAAACTTACCAACAAAGAAAAGCCCAGGTCCTGATGGATTCACAGCTGAATTCTATAAGAAATTTACAGAAGATTTGATGCCAATATTCCTTAAACTCTTCAATGAAGTTGAAAGAGAATAAGTCTTCCCCAACTCATTCTTGTAGGCAAGTATACTCTGATACCAAAACCAGAGAGAGACCCAACCGAAAAAGAGAACTATAGACCAATCTCACTAATGAACACTGATGCAAAGATTCTCAATAAAATATTGGCAAATAGAATGCAGCAAATCATCAAGAAGATTATACACCACAGCCAAGTGGGATTTAGTCCAGGAATGCAGGAATGGTTCAACACACGCAAATCAATAAATGTAATATACCACATCAACAGAGCCAAAAATAAAAATCACATGATCATCTCAATAGATGCAGAAAAAGCTTTCAATAAAATCCAGCACACATTCATGATAAAAACCTATAGAAACTTGGAGTAGACAGTATGCACCTCAATTTCATAAAGGCCATCTATGACAAACCAACAGCTAACATTTTACTAAATGGACAAAAACTGAAAGCCTTCACTCTAAAATCAGGAACAAGACAAGGATGTCCACTATCACCACTCCTATTCAATACAGTTCTGGAAATATTAGCCAGAGTAATCAGACAAGAGGGAGAAATAAAATGAATAAGAATAGGAAATGAAGAAGTACAATTATCATTATTTGCATATGACATGATACTCTACATAGAAGACCCCAAAAACTCTATTAAAAGACTACTAGAGGTAATAAACAAATTCAGCAGTGTACCTGGATACAAAGTCAACACTCAAAAATCAATAGCATTCCTGTACACAAACTCACTGAGAGAAAAATTATGGAAATATAGCCTTTCACAACACCATCTAAAAAACTGAAATACCTAGGAATCAACCTAACCAAGAATATAAAAGACCTACATGCTGAAAATTATACTACTCTAAAAAAAGAGATTGAAAAGGATATTAGAAAATGGGAAGGATATTCCTTGCTCTTGAACCAACATTGTGAAAATGGCCATACTCCCAAAACTATAATACAGATTTAACACAATCCCAATCAAAATACCATTAACATACCTTACTAATCTATAGAGGCAATAGTCCTAAAACTTATCTGGAAACAGAAGAAAACTAAAATAGTAAAGGCGATTCTGGGCAACAAAGGCAAGACAGTAAGCATCTCAATTCCTGACTTGAAACTATACTACAAAGCTACATAGATAAAATCAGCATGGTACTGGCAAAGAAATAGATCTGAGGATAAATGGAACAGATTACAATATGCAAACACAACTATAAAGACACTCAGCCACCTTATATTTGACAAAGGAGCTAAACAAGTTCACCAGAAAAAAGATAGCCTCTTTAATAAATAGTGTTGGAAAAACTGGGTTTCCACATGCCAAAGACTAAAAATAGACCCATTGTCTATCACCATACACTAAACTAAAGTCAAAATGGACCAAGGATCTAAATATTAAAACAAAAACACTAAATCTACTGGAGAACAAGGTAGGTAAAAATCTTGGGAGACATAGGGGTAGGGAGAGAATTCATAAATAAAATGCAAACTGCATGGGACATACTTCAAAGAATCAACAACTGGAACCTCATATTACTAAAAAGAATTTTTTCACTTCAAAAGAAATCACCAACAAAGTGAAAAGAACCCACAGAATGGGAAAGAATTTTAGCCAACAATCCCTCAGACAAAGGACTTATATCCAGAATATATAAAGAACTGAAAAATATCAAGCCCCCCCCAAATTCAAAGACCCCCTCCAAAAATGGGCATTGGAGATGAACACACATTTCTCAGATGAAGATATACAAATGGCAAATAAATACATGAAGGAATACTCACTATCATTGGTGACTTGAGAAATGCAAATTAAACCAACACTAAGATTTCATCTCACCCAGAAAGAAAGCAACTGAACATCAAGAAAACAACTGATAACAAATGTTGGTGAAGATGTGGAGAAAAAGAACACTGCTCCACTGTTGGTAGGTGTATAGACTGGTGCAACCACTGTGGAAATCAGTATGGAGATTCCTCAAAAAGCTAGGATTGGAAGTTCCATTCAATTCAGCTATTCCCCTCCTACGTATTTTCCCAGAAAAATTGAAAGGGTAGTGTCACAGTGATATATGTGCACCCATGTCATAGCAGCACAATTTGTGATGGCTAAATTGTGGAAACAACCAAAATGCCCATCAACTGCAGAGTGGATGAAAAAGATGTGGTATACAATGGAATATTTTTATGCAATGGAATGTTATTCAGCTATAAAAAAGGATAATGTTGAGGCCTTTATAGGTAAATGGAGGCAACTTGAGAATATCCTTATTAGTGAAATAAACCAGACTCACATTAGTAAATATCACATTGTCTCTCTAGTATAAAAATAAAAAGAATTGACAGAATAATGGGATCCAAAAAGTATAATAGATATCGTAAAAGTGAAAGGGAAGGAAAGTGCTCTAAAGGATATAATGGTATGCATAGTGTATAAGATAGATGATCATATTACTAAATTTCTATTAGGTCATTGAACAGAAGAGACTGCACTGTCAATGTTTGAGTGTCTAGCCACTTTTTATGCTTTGATTTTGTAACTTTAACAACTATCGTTAAGATGACAATATGTAATCTATCAACCAGCAACTTTTTTGAATTCTGTATTTTACTTTTTCTCATTTTTTTCTATTTTGTTTTTTTAATTTTCTCTTCTTTCTTTAAATAAAATTTAAAGAACATTCTAAATAGAAATATTTATTTATAGTTAAATTAGCAAATATAGCAAACTAAAGCCTATGAAAATGCAGAGAAAGTCACATGTCTAAATTTCTGCTTTTTGGTATGTACATTTTATTAGCAGACTCACTTGTCAACAGTGCTGTCTCTGAGAAGACACAAAGGAAAAGACCCTCTTAGCCGAAAACTCTTCAATTTCACTTTTTGTACGTATAACAGCCAGCTTTCAATAATGCTTGTATTTATGACCATAATAACCTTTACCTATAAGTACTCATTGATTACTGCTTTACCTAAAACATGAAAATCCCATTTCAATTTGCAAGAAATTACAAATTTACACATTAAAAATAAGCACAAATATTTTTACATTAGCATTATAATGAATACCCCATTATAAAGAATTCCCATAAAATATTTGAATGCCTTTTTAAAGCAACTATATAAAAGGCAATTCTATTCATACCCTATCCTACCTTTACTGTCTTCGACAACTTTCTAGCAAAGAAATACTCATTTACCATTTCAACAGATCCATCCCCTGGGTAAAACAAAAGCTCGTAACGTCGAAGGAGCGAAGCATTTGGATCATACCACTCTGCAATGAAGACGAACCTCTCATTATGATTCTGTAAAGAAAAATACAGTAATTTTAACACAGACATACAAACAAGAATTTCCAAGAAATATTCTACTGCCTATTATATCTTTTGAATAAGATAGCACAATCCCAGAAATATTTCCTGCTGATTTCTCATTTAACATCCTTAGACATTTCAAAGAAAAGTAACGAACAGTGCAATGTTTCACACCCATCCAATCATCTGAAGTTAATTGATTTTTCAGAATATGAGACCCTGATCTGACTTCTATAACAATTCGAAAATCCATCTGAAGGCAAATTTACATACAGACTATTAATAAGTTAATACGAGGAAAAGTTTCCAAAAGGCTGAAACACAGAAGTTTTAACTTTTCTATAAGAATTTAGTAATATTAGAATACTGTTACCATTAAAAGTACTGTAAACATCTTTTCTCACCTTGCTGATTTCATATAGTATCTTTTAACAGAAATAGTAGAATATGTTTCTAGGACTTCTGAAAAACAGAAGCCAAGACAGGTGTGAACATCTAAGAATGTCATTAAGGAAAATTCTTAGAAGAGAAAATGGGAAGGGAGCAGAGAAGACTGGGAAAGACCACAGGCAGGGGGGCCTGAGAGGAAGGAGGCAAGGCAGGCTGCCTGGACATGCCATCCTGAAGGACAAAGCCCAGCAGGGAGGGCTCCTGCCTACTAGTGCCAGAGAAGCACTTCAGATCCCAGCTAGGGGTCAGCTTTACCACCCTACCCACCTCTATCACTGTCCCAAGTTCAAAACCAGCAGTGAAGCCCACTCACCTCCCCACAGTGCCACAGGCCTGTAACCCAGCTCCCCTGGGGAGGAGAGAGGGAGGGCGAGGACATGCGAAGCAGAAGAGTCCACCCTCCAGGCCAGCCTAAGCAGTTAGTGGGACCCTGTATGGAGGGAAGGAAGACCAGAGGGTCTCATCTTGTCTCGTTTTGTCTTTGTCTTTTGAGGTAACAACCATCATTAGATTGTATCAACCAGCTGGATCTACTGTTTATTTACATTTGATTGCTTTTGTTTAGTTTTCTCTAGTGAGCTACTGTTTGAGTTACCCTTCAAAAATCTTAGTTATCTCTCACAATAATTAGGGTCAAATATTGAATGAAGTAGTAGGGAGGGAAATGGAAATAAGCTAATAGTGTGCCAGGTTTATTTATACACATGTCAGTTAAGCCTCATAACAAACCTGTAATGGAGGTATTCTCTACAGTGGGAAAACAGAGGTTCAGAGAGGTTGGATACTTCCCAGCTCAAACAGGTTCTCAGGGCCAGATAGGGGATTCAATCAAAGGTTGTATGATGCACAAAATCAATACCCATATCCAGACTTCAAGAGTCTGAATCAGCAGCAGAGCAATGGGGATGGGAGACATGCTGTCTAAGCAGAAAAATGGACAGTGATAAGAAATCAAAGAAGATTGCAGACAAGGGAAAATCAGTCTGGCCTCAATCCCAGAAGAGATAGCTCCAACTGGACTCCTGAAACCCCCTTTAAATGTTTCTGGCAGTTTCATTTACCATGAGATGTAAGAGTTCAAGAAAGAAGAGTTACCCCGACTCAATACGAAATTATATGGACATAGGAAATGCAATCAGTTCATGGAATAAACAGGCAGTAAGACAGGGAAAATAAATGTGGTGGCAACTGCAGCACGATGGGATGCTATGAGTTCATGATCAGAGCAGATGTTTGGAAACACCTTTATTTCATCTCCATAATGTTGAAGGACACTTTTGCTAGTCACAGAACTCTGTATTATAACACTAATAGTTATTCAGAACATATCTTGAAAAATAATGCTTTATATTCTTTATCCCCAAAATCATAACTAAGAAGAACACTATCCCAAGTAATTTCAATCTTCCAAACCAACAAACTTAATAAAATTATACGATAATTATGTAATATACACATGGAACAGCGCTATATTTTTAGTTTCCAAAATTATGAAGGATAAACTTTTTAATGGCTACTATTTTCACATTTTACTTTTAAGAGTCATGGTTAAAAGAGAAATACTGACAACCATTTATGTGCAAAATATAGTATATCAGGCACAAATGATGGGAACAAAATGTTTAAAAAGCTGAATAACAGAAGGAGCTCAGAAGTAACTGAAAAGACTTGTAGATATTAATTTTTTAAAATGAAAGAAGGTAAATATGATTTACAAGTAGTTAGTATGATGATGCCATTTTTCCATATCTTGAAAAGTGCATTAAAATAGTAGCTCAAAACTTTTGACTATTATAGTAGTAAGTCATATCATGATCCAATACATACACACCACAAATATAACACTGCACATAGGAGACCCTGGGAAGATGGTGGGACAGTAAGCAGCAGAGTAAACAGCCTCTCGGAGAGAAACAGTCCAGGTGCTGGAATATAGCATTCTGGAGAAGACAAGAAGGAAGGAACTGGGTCCCCTTGACCCAGCAAGAACCTAAAGTGAGAATTGAAGCCCACAGAGAGAATTAAAAAAAGAAAAACTTAAAGGCAGTAGCTAGTGGTACTTTTACCTGGAGCCAAAACCACTGTGCGAGAAGCACTGTTGAAACCTGGGGACACATAGTAACAGTGAAGCTGGTGGCTGGCAAGCCCAAAGGCCTCTGCAAGGAGACATGGTGGCAGAGGGAAGCAGCGGACCACAGAACTGCACTGGCTGGCAGTGAGTGTGGGGGACTCAGTCCTCCCATGGGAGTGGGCAATTGGCCAGGGGCCATTTCGGAATTGGGCAGGATAAGCCTGGAGCCAGAACTGCAGCTGGCTTCATTCAGCCACTCCTAGCTCAGAGCAAACTGGTGGAAATTGCTTGGACTGAGTCCCACCCCTGTCGGAGGTCCAACAGCCATCCCAGAGGTTTCCCTAAAGCTTTCCCTAACCAACCCCACCCTCCCTGTGCCTATTAAGTAGGTGAGGGCTTCCCGTGGCTAAGCAGCTTGGGAGGAAGGTGCCAGCCTGCCCCACCTCTGCTTGCATTCCACCAGCTACTGAAAGCCCAAAAGCAAACAGTCTCTCACTAGGGACCCCACTACCCACTTGTCTGGAAAAAACCAGGAACATGACAAGAGGAAGAAGCAAAAGGCAGCCTCTGGCCTCCAACCCAAGCAGTACGGGCCCAGGAGATTTAAACACAGAAGAGACTGGGAGTCACACACCTAAGTTTCTGAAACAACAGCAGCTGAAATAAAGACACAACATCAAGAGGCTATAAAAGAAATTAGAACAGAAGTACTATCTGGTAAAAGAAGAGATGCGAAACATAATAAAAGAATTACTAAGCACCTCTAAAGAAGACACAGATGGAAGAATAGAGGAGCATAGAAAAAGGAGGGAAACCTTCAATGAAGGATATAAAAAAGACTGAGAATACATGAAATAATTCAAAGAGATTACCATGAAATTAAAAACTTCATTGAAGGCTGGCAAAACTGCTTGAAAGAACCTAAAGAAGGGTGGCAAAACTGGTTGGAAACAGGTTTGCAGCTTGCGATCATGAAAGGAAAGATCTCTTTAAAAAATAACAAGGAACCAGGAAGTAACAATACAAAAGCTACAAGATGACAAGAGGGAGTATAACTTAAGAATAAAAACTGTGAGAGAAAAAGCAGGGGTAAACACAAATGAAATACAAAGGCTATTTACAGAAATAATTAAAGAAAACTCCCCAAGCATAGGAAAAGGAAATGATATTCAGAGAATTGAGACAAACACAACTCCAGCCAGCTATAACCAAAACAGATCTACACCCAGACATATAATAATCAAGATCCCAGAAACTCAACACAAGAGCAGAATATTAAAAGCTGTCAGAGAAAACTTCTCAACACAAATTATCAAATCAAGAAGAGCTTGGAATGAAGTATTCCAACTCCTGAAAGAAAATAACCTCCAACCCAGATTGATGTACCTTGAAAAACTATCTCTCAAAATTAATGGAGAAACAAGATGCTTCCATGAAGAAAGAGGAACTGAGGGAGTTGATGACCACCGAACCAACCCTACAAAAAATACTGAAGGACATTCGAGACAGACAGAAAAAAGACTATGGTTTCAGGAACAGCAGCAGAGGGGGCTCACTGAATGGGGTAAACAGTAGAATGAAAGGGAAAAGTAACAACCAACAGCAGAAAAATAGCATGGCAGGGAAGGTTGGCCATAATCACTTATAGGTGGCCTTGATTCACCAATTAAAAGAAACAGAAACAATGTGAATCAGCAGGTAGGGTCCATCAATATGCTTTATATAAGAAATACATTTAACTCGAAAGAGGGTTTATAGACTACAAGCCAAAGATGAGAAAACAATGCTCTATATGACAGGGAACCAGAAAAAAGTGGGGGCAGCCTAACTGATCAGCTGTAGATTGGTTAGAAAGCCACAATACTTTTACACAATGGAAAACTACTCAGCTTTGAAGAAAGAAAACTTTGAGGCTCTTGTAGGTAAATGGATACAACTTAAGATCATGCTCAGGGGTAAAAGGTTCAGAATCACTTAGATGAGTAGCCGGGTTGGCTCCCTAATATAAAAACTAAAGGAGTTAGTGGGATCCAAAATGTACAATATAGCCTGTGAAAGTGAAAGCGGAGGAAGTGTTTAAAAAGGGAAGGCAGAGGACATTGTTAATCTATTACCATGATTTGAAACCCATATTGTTTTCATTGTTCTATTTTGTTTGGTTTTATTCTGTTTCAGACTGTCTACTTGCATTAGATTTGATGGAAAGCTATTCCAAAGATAGCAGGATATATTATGGTAACAATTTTTGATTTTCTATTAGCTTGATTTGAAGCCATATATTGCTTTCGCTGTTTGTTTTGACTGATTTTATTCTATTCTGTTTCGTTTCATAGTATCATGTCTGCTGGTTTAGTCAACTACTTTGAAGACAAAAAGATACACTAAAATACCCCCCAAAATACTGAACATATTCTCACAGCATTAGTACTACTTATCATGTACTAAGATATTATCTGTTTTATCTTTAAAAAAAAAAAAAAAAAAAAGCTGATGGAGAACCCACGACACTTCATGATCAACAAATGAGGCCAAAAGCCTTTCAAAAACTGAACTGCTGTTCTCCCCCGACCCAGCACATTCACCTCCTTCCCACCACCACCTACAAAAATGATTTTCCCTGTGTGAACCAAGTAAGATGCTGTCACTAAAATAAATGTACTGAATTAAAAAGACTATCACAGGAAATAACTTTATATTCAATAAATTGGAAGAAACCATTTCTGAGATACATCTCAGCTGCTAAGCCACCTTTGCATAGACAACAGCTAGGTGCCTGCTGTGGTCTGGATGTTTGTATTGCCCTAAAATTCACATGCTGAAAACCTAATTCTAATGAGACATTAGTAGGAGTTGTGTCCTTTGAGTGGGATTAATAGCATAGAAAAGCCCTACACAGCTCCCTTGCCCCCTCCACCATGCAAGGACACAGCAAGGTGTCATCTGTGAAGGTAGAAATGGGCTCTCACCAGACAGCAACTCAGCCAGTACCTTCTCTTGCAATTCCCACAACTGCAAGAACTGTAAAAAGCAAATATCCTTGGTTGATGAACTGTTTTGTTGTAGAAGTCACCAAAAACTAAGCCACTGCCTCAAAAGAAAGAGGAAAGTATAACTCTTTTTCAATAAGCACATGAACTGAGCCTCTCATTTAAATATACAAGGAAAAATCCTGTGGTACTATTGGGCTAGAACTATGTGGAACACAGTTTTGTTTAAAATTTTTCAACAAAACTGAAGCAGGGAAAATAAAACCGCTTTCTGAAATCACTTAAACATGATCAAATTAAAGAACTAGTATGATACTTCAACAAGATTAAAAAATTACATTCTAAACAGCAAGAACAAATAATCATATA